GAGACATGGCAAAGCTCTTTCAGAGTCTGCTGCATGTTCACTTGACTGTAAGGCTGATGATTTCCCCGTGATAAAATKATTGTTTCAGTGGTTTATAACACTGTTTCCCCTTTGCCTCTACCTATGGAGAGCACTACATTATTTTTACAGATCTTGATGAAATTTCCTTGAGAAAGGAAATTTAATAGAGTTTTTTATATGTAGAGGCAGGATAGCTTTTCCTTTTGCAGTCAGAAATACACTCCATTACATGACAAACATAAAATAATTATTTTGTATTTAGACTGCTACAGAACGTTGAACTTCATAATGCCATTTTGTCATTTGTTGGAGTAAGCAAAGTTTACAACAAAGTACAACAAAGAATTTAGCGACCATTACATTCAATGTTGTATGTATGATACACTTGAGTTCTCCAAACACATAACAGAAAATTAATTAGGATTTTTTTTCCAAAGTAATAATAAATGTCTGACCCTCAAGAACAAAGGTTAACCTTTAATTTTAGATACAATATCTGTCATTTTTCTTCCATTATGCATGACAGATACAAAAATTCAACAGCAAGAATATATTCTAATTAGTACCACTGCATTGCAAAATAGGCTCTAATTATTACCATTATATTGCAAAAAAATAAGAATGTTCCCATAGACCAGACTCAAGCTTGATTTGTAGCTGGTTGAGAAGTAGCTTTCTTATGTGTATATCCCTGAGGTACTGGAAGTAATCTATTTATAATACTCACAGAATAGAATCATTTTAATTTTATCCCTGTGGTATGGTACATAATACTTACCATATATTTTACATCACTAATATTATTTTGTAAATCATTTTTTAATCCTCCTATAAAATTTACCATGGTTTCACTATTACCAACTTAGTCATCTATTTGGAGAAGAGATTTGGATAAAACTGTTTAAAGATTATTTGAAATATCTTCAAAGGCACCACTGGATCTTTGTGTTTAACAGGACTGTTCAGAAAGAAAACAAAAAGTATATGTCTGTCTTTTTAAAGAGGAAGAACTTACTGTTCTGTTTCCAAAGCCCTTGGGTTGCCCTAATCAAGACCCAAGTATATTCACAAGGAAAAACAAACAGAATTAAGCCTCAAAACTAAAAGCCTGGAGCACTGTTTATGCATTCAATCCTTTCTCTGGAGTAAGGGTCTACATGCATAACTGCGTACAGCACTTCTGACTGACATTGTCAGGAGATGGCAGCTGAATGGAAAAAGTTCCTCCATATTTAGGAAAGAGTTTGAGAAACAATKTGAAAGACACCCATTTTATCTTCATTTAAAATCCATCCGTGTGAATCAACTAAAGCAACATTTCCATTTTTCACTTAAACTATATGAAGTTTGATAKAGAAGTGGTTTGAGTGTTCCACTCATAGGAATACGAGTGTCCGGACAAACTACTATAGCTCAAAAGGAAAGAGCTAGGAATGGATGCATTGCTTACTCAAAACCATACTTAATGCAAAAGACAAAGAAAAAAAAATTGAAAATTTTACATTTTCTCCACTATTGCTCAGAACCCTGTACTATTTTGTGTTGTTTCATAAAGAACTCTAATGTTAAATCTCTAAATGAAACCTTTCTTACAAGATTTTCAAAATCTGTATTCTAGGCCTCTTTTTCACTAGTGTTTATAACTGCTTATATTTCTATATAGACCACACAACTGCTCAAGACTGCAAAGACTGTAAGACAAGAAAACAGCCTGTAACTGAAATGAATGAAGAGAAACTGCAGAAAGCCCTCTGCGCAGCACGGGAGACTGCTACCTAATGCTCTGGACCCTCCAATGGATCAGCAGATAATGCTCTGGACCCTCCAGTGGATCAGCAGATAATTAGTCATATTTTAAAATGCATAGAAGATTGCAATATTTATCTTTTATATCTATTTTTTTACCTCTTTTTTTTTTTGGTAATAATTATGAAATATAAACACCATTGGACTCCTACTTGCTGTTTTTCACTCCAAGCTTAAAGGAAGYTGAGACCACAAATAAGGCACATATATGGCAGATCACATGAACATTTAAAGTCCTGTTTAGTCTSTGCTGAGCAAAAACAGCATGAAATTTAAGCAAATACAGTTTATAAGTACATTCAAACACATATCTTGAATTACAATACATTTTTTATTAGTCTGTTCATTGTAGCTTTTGGTAATAATTTTAAAAAATACTCTATTGCTCCTGAATGCTGTCATATTTGCTTCTAAATAAATTAAAGTCTGTAATTTCTGGTAAGAGACTAATTTTGTATCAAAATACATGCAAATTAGCATTGCAGGAAAAAAGCATTGTATCTTGAAGCTATGATGCAAACCAACATTTCTGAGAAATGGAAACTGATGAAAAATAATTTTTATGCAAAACAGCATTTATGTCCTGAGGGGAGAAAGGATGGCAGGATCTTTTGTATTTTAAGGAGCAGTATATTCAGGTTGTTGATAACCTACAGTTTTAGAGCTTCTTCGTGACCCATCACTATAAAGGAAGGAGGCATGTGGAGCTATGTTATTGAAGACAGAATAATTGCACCAACTTTGTCATGACAGTGCAGATAGGGATACTTAAATGCAAAAGACATCTTCATCGCCCAAAGACTGTAACGAGACAAAAAGTAGAGTCTTCAGTTGTGAATTAGCCCAAGTTATTTTTTCCCCTTCACAGGGACATTTRGTCCCTGTGAAGTCATACAGGTATGACATTTATCGTTGATTTAAAAACAAAACAAAACAAAAAAGAAAGAACTCTGCTGAAGGACTTTAGTGTATTTTAAAAGTCACAAGTGACAGTTTTCAAATGAAATAGAAAGAAAGTTGAGCCAAACCTCAGGCCCATTTCCTGAGGAAATATGAAACTAGTCCTGAACTTCTGCAACTGGTTAAATATGCCCTTCTGATGATAAGTGCAGGGACTGCACTGGCAAAAAGATGCAAGTCCAGGTGAGTCAGCTCCTGTCCTGCCTTGCTTTTGAGAAAGGGTTTAGCTAGGGCTGCAGGTCACTTCAGGGACCAGCTAGAGGTTTTCCATGTGTAGTGAATATGGGATCTGGGAACTAACAGATGGCAGGTGAAGTCACCACAACTTCAGGTAGGAGAAGTTCTAGGAACAGGTGTAGCCTGAAAGTACATTTGAAATAGGCTTTCCTAAAGTAGGATGCCTCCCATTTTTTCTTCTTCTGTGCTATCTTGCAGAAAGATAACATTGAGCCATGGCTCTGCTGAGTATGTAGCATGCCAGTGATATTGGTAATAACTAGAGTCATCGGATTTAGCTGACTAGGTACTGATTCACTGATACAACATTAGTTAAGATTTTTGTTTCACAGTCAAAACTTCATGACAAAACCATGAAGGGATGTGATTCCATGTTCTGCTTTGTTTTAGAGCAACCTATTCAGTAAGAGCATGGGACTGTGCTCAGGAGGCACAGTTGCTAACTGCAACATCATTTCCTTGCCTGGTTTCACACATATATCAGATGCCTAAAGCTGTAAATTGATAATTCCAGATCAATCAGAAACATCTGGGAGTCCCAACAGTTGAGAAGACTAAGAATCTAGACCCTCATGGTTGATAATGTAAGAACACAATTGGGATGCTTGTCAGGGAGGCTCTAGTCCCTGTAAAAAATAAGCTTTATCTTGTCCATTTTCTTGTATTTTCTTTAATGAAAGAAGGGAAAACAGGARGGACTTTCTCCTGCTGATGGCAGTGCCACAGTGAAAACAAACATATAGAAGAAGTGGTCAGTCAATCCTCCTGCAACCAGAGTAGTTCCTGAAGTATTATGAGAAGTGGACTACACCAGCAGTCTGCCTGGACGTAGAGTGAGGTTTTCTTTCACGCCTCTGATAGAAAGCTCAGTGCTTTTGGTGAATGAACAGCACATGAAGGCCTACGAGTCTGTTACACCTGTTATTTTGGAGTTACTGGCTGAGCCTCTAGAGGCACCTTGAGAAAAAGAAAGGAAGAAAGGAAGAAAGGAAGAAAGGAAGAAAGGAAGAAAGGAAGAAAGGAAGAAAGGAAGAAAGGAAGAAAGGAAGAAAGGAAGAAGTCTCTTGATGTTGTTCAAGTGTGTGGTGTCTAACACTACACAAAACATTTCCTGATACTATCCATGGCCAAGTGGGAAATACCTGTGGAATTGCACGGATGCACCACCTCACACCTGTCTTGCTGGGAAAGACAGAAGTCTGTATAAGAGACTGCCAGTGCCTTGAGAGAGATTGATGAAAAGAACTATCATAGAAGTACAACTTTTTTTTTTAAAGCTGTGTCCAGAAAGAACATATCAATTTAAGCTTTTCCTGATAACAGGGTATCTCAGAGACCTCCAGTATTATCAGCGTAAGACACTGACAACACCTAATTCATGAAAAGTAAATATATACAAATTATTTTTTAAAAGTCTTATTTTTTAAGACTCTAAAATGTTTATGCTGTTTCTTACCCAGGATTTCCATTGATGTTTCATGGAATGCTTTAAATAAACCACATGAATGAGTACATGAAAGAACAGATTGTAAAGTAATAATCAGTGTGCAGAGTAGGCTCTGTCCACAAGGATTGGCCATCTGATACAGAAGACCAGATAGGCAGGACACCCCAGAAATTTGAAGCTTTTAGGGAATTCATATATACAAAATAATTGCTTATAATATAAGTATTGATGTAAATGGTTAAGTATTGTATTCTGTATTTGAAGTATTAATACTTGAATATCTAAGAAATCTGCTAAAGCAAAAAGAGATGCCATAAATATTTCCTCCTTCATTCCAAGCAGCAACTGACTCGGCTTCTTCCTTTGTTACACATTAGACATATGTACTATCTGATGCCAAACAACTCYTTCAAAATGTACCATATATTCAATTCACATTAATTCCTGCACTTCCCATGTGGTTAGAAYTGCTACAAATGATTATACTTACAAGAGTCACATTACTTGGAGAAAAATGAGAAGATCTTACCGCAACGGTTCCATTGCAGCTTTGGGACTGGCAAACACCTGTAATTCTCTCTGAAATCAGCACATCCTCCCAGCAAGATGGACCCTTCAAAATAAAACCAAAACAAGGCATGTAAATGCTTTAATCTACTCAATAAGAAAACATATAGAAGTCTATATTTAGTGTCTCTCTCCCTATCTTTAAACCTTGTTAGAATTTAGACTGTCAGTTTTCACAGAATGACAGAATGATTGAAGTTGGAAAGGACCTCTAGAGATCATCTAGTTCACCCCCCCTGCTCAAGCAGGGACACTTAGTTTTATTATTTTTAAGTTTAAAAAGTACAAATGTTGTTATTTATCAATAAAACTCAGGTCTTGATAAAACATACAGCTCTTCCATCCTATAGTTAAYGTTGTGGACAGGATTCATACAGTAATATATTAAAAGTTCAGGTAGGGACTTTCTTAATTATGAATAAAAAGCTACAGACATATCTGGTTGAACCTGTTTGTCTTTGCTTGTAGCTGACTACTAGTAAGTAGAAAAAAAAATATGAGATGAATATTCATCTGGAAATATTGGAGAATACAGGAAGAATAAGTCAAGTTGCAGGCCTGTATTTTGCTGTTAAACTCTGTAAGAATTAAATGGCTGAGGCTTTACTGAAATCTGACTTACACGGGCTGCTAATGTGGGCTTTGATAATATCAAGAAAAAGAAAACGTCAAAGAATACAGCAATCAAAAATCCTAAACAAACTTTTCTATGTCTTGTTGAACAAAAATTCATTTATGAGTGCATTACAAAACAAGAAGGAATAGTAAATTTGAAGACTACTGGTTAGGTAAATATAGTTTGAACATGTGAAGACTATATTGCAGGTAGACAAAAGGGGTGACTACAAGTAGATGTATTGTTGACACTTTGGGAGAAAAAYAGATATAGTATAGTATAATTAATAAAAATCACTTTGCTAGGAATCATAAAAAAATTATTTAAAACATTTGAAAAGATGATTATTTTCCATTAATTCTCCAGTGATTTTTGAACTGATAYGAAGTTTGTTCTGTTCCTGTCTACTAAGTATTTATTCTACTCACATTGATGTAATAGATGTAAGATTCTAAAAGTCAGTGGCGTTATGGGAGTAAGCATACAGAAAAGAAAGAGTTTACTATACAATAAGACAGTTAAAAGGAGTCTCAGGAGAAGAAACAGTTCTGCAAGCATATGGTATCAACCACAGTACTAATGATCTTGATTACAAAAGSAGAAAATATTTCAAGCCATTCAAACAATATTCAAGCATTTTTTTTGCAGGTCATAATTCTTTAACTTCATTGGAATTATTTCCCAACCAGTTTACAGGTCCATAATTAGGTAAATATGAGAAGATATAATAACACTTAAGTAAAAAAAAAAAAAAAGCTATTTAAAATGGATTTGAAACAGTATGATTATTTTAATCGCGCCATATTCTTAYAGTATTTGTGATTAGTAAAAAATATAATCAGGAAATAATCCTGAAAGAAGAAGCCAAAACAGAAAAGATTCTTGAGTATCCATTACAGTCAGTCAGAATTCAGTGACTACAACTAACATTGGATCAGATCCAAAGATGACTTAATATGCCAAGATCTTTTTATTTATTAGTAGAAACATCAATTTTAAAAGATCTTTTTGCTCAATTTATATGGTCTTATCGACATGAAAAAGTTGAGCTTTATACCATGGTGTGAACTTATGCTGCTCTCTCTTTGCTGCAGTAATTTCCTTTATGCATTTCTCATGCATACAAAGGTAATTTTTACATGCAGCAGCTTTCTGGTGGAAAAGAAAGTACCCATTTTTCCACTTAGGGCAGACTAGGGCATTCACACAGGGAACTAGCACTGCAGTCTCACATCACCAGTGCTACTGTGCTGTACGCTCACACTGATGTTTACAGCTTCCCAGTGGGTCTATATAAACAACACCCTGTCCACTACTGCTTTACACATCATTAATTACAACTATGGGCATATAACCCATGAGAAAGTCATACACATTTAGCTATGTTGAAAACATTGACTATACTTGGCCTTAAACTGAGTTAACAGTACGTTCTCTTTATTCTAATAGGAGTCAAATCAAGTTCTCTGGAGACAAATTGATCCAGCAACTGAAGCCCAAGACTAGGAAGCAGAATATCTTGGTCCTGTGCCTGTATGGCTGTCAGATGTAGGAAAAGACACACATACCAAAAAAAAAAATGTTTTCTTTTCAATGTTTATAAAAAGGAGGAATTCTCCTTTCTCTTACCTATGTTTGGCATTCTATAAGGTCATATTTTGTTATTTGTAAAGAGTCTGTGTACTTGAGAATTTGAGTTTTGCATTTGCAAAAAACAGCAAAACGTCATACATCCTTGAAAAAGAGTTTGTAGTCATAATGTTGCTCTTTCTTTAACGAGAGTGCTACTAAGCATCACTGCTATAATTGCACCACAGTAAAATAAGGAATTCTAGGGAGATAAACACTTCAAAATGATTTTTTTTCTTGTTTTCTTGAGTGCAAGAAAAACCTGTCAAACTGCAAATCAGCCAATCAGTTGCATTGTTGTAACTCTCTGCACTCTGTAGTGTTTGTAATTATTAGTCTCCTTTAATCAAGAACGTGCTGTGAGAAGAACAAAGCCCTCTGATTGCAAGATTAAAGCAACTGGCCTTTGAGTGCACAGCCACATGGGTCCAAAAAAGCTACACATCAAAATGAATGCATCAGAGGATACAAATGGCGAAATGAAAGACTAAAGTAAGAAGTATAAGGAACACTTTATAATGAATTAAAAAAATAAAAGAGTTAAATGCAGTTGAATTTCTTTCTGCAGTTGGAATGGAAACTTTTATGTTTTGGGTGTTTGGTGCTTGTCCTCTTTCCTTTTTTTTTTTGTGGGAGTAACACAGGAGAAAAAGTTGGCAAAGATCATATTAAACATGAACTGAAACTCATATTCAACAGATGAATAACAAAGAGAATTCACATGCTAGTCATCGAATAAAGGAAGCAGTGGAAAATCACGTATTTTCCATTGTATTGATGCACAGTACCCTGCACAGTACATTGTACTTTCAGAATATTTTCACCAGTACTCAAGATACAATTTTGTATTAGGGAATAACAACAGACTTTTGGTCACTTTCAATAGTCRCTTTAAAAGTCCATGATGACAAAAGGAGTATCTAGAGATCTCAGATGACAAATTATTCAAAATACAATTGCTGACAGAGCTGTTGACCTGTGAAAACCAGGAAAGGTCAGAAACAGAGGTCAGCAATAGAATTCAGTGATTCATCAAATAGTTTGAATCATTTAAAAGACTGGAAACTATCCATGTATTTAATGCTTTTTATTTTCCCTGCTTTATATTCTCTCCTGGTGAAAAATATGCAGTAGAATATCTTTAAAACACATCCTTGTAATATCTGCTAATATCTGCTTGAGAGATATAGATCATCAAAATGTTGTACAAATGATCCATCCAAGGGACAAATATTGATGCAGAAAGATTTTTAAAATAATGGAAGAAATAATTCCTAGTCCTTGAAAGGGTTTAAAATCAGCATACAAATCACTGAGAAAGCACTAAATCTAATGCTATCCATGCACAGACTCAGACTCTTTCAGAAAGTAATGGCTATAATCTTGCTTATATGAAAGCATTTGAAGAACTAATCCTTGTATGCTGCCCCTTCATCATGATTTTAATAGCATGAAGCAATAAGACAGAAAATCTTCCCCAAATACCATAATTACTTTAAAAATTTGGTATTTTTTGTTTTGCTTTTGCACTCCATGACAGTGGCGTCCACAGCAAGATACCACTGCTTTTAAGGTTAGTATTGAAAGAAAATTGTGGCTGCAATGTATAGGAGGAATCCAGGTGTATTCTGTCAGCAAATAAATGTATACAACAGCTTAACACAGCCCCTAGCTTAACTAGAGGAACAGTGGTGGATCCCATCTACTGTCTCAATCATGTCTTAGCAGAGATAACAGAGTCTTTTGCTGTGCTTTCCTCTACTCTTCTCAATATAAATTTGAACTGGTTTCCATAATACAAGCATTTAAGCCTAGCAAATCATGTTACAAGGTAAAGACACATTTTCCTAAATCAGCAGATATTTTGACTAATTAATACCAGACCGTTTACCTACGCATCAACTAACTAAAATTTGTCCTCTGTAAAATCTAACACTTTCCAAGTCTTTATGCTGATAATCCCATTGTGTTTCAGAGCAAGTGATCTACAAGAAGACTACATATAGTCAGAAGCCGAAGAAACCACAGGAACGTGTAGGCTCATGACTGTCTCACACCTGATGGGGAAGCTGGAAAAGAATCCGCAGTTGACATATCCAAAACAAACTGTGCAAAATCTAGACCTTTTATCCTATTTTATTATTGAAGAAATGGAGATGACAAATTAAGATTTTTACAGTGGTCCATATTTTTATAAATTCTTAACAGACTTAATTTAGGAGAATCATCTGATCATCTTTTCAAGCTCTTCATACTAAGAATAATCTCGCTGCTATATGAACAATATTTAATCCAAACAGCACAAAAAATTAAAAATAGCATGATGTGCTTCTAATAGTAAAGAGATGAGAGCTCATTTCAATTCAGAAAAGGTAGAATCTATATGAATCATAGCATTTTCTAAAGCTCCTTATTTATTTCAGTTTTCTTTATATCTTGACAATTAAGGATACAACTAGACTTTGTTTGTTAAATGAGATATGACACTTATTAGATTTATAGTGAATGCCCAGGTATCATATAAATATTATTACATTTTTCCTAAATAAAACTGTATGAGTAACAATAACAGTATCCACTTTGTGCAAAATACATTTCTATAAATCCCCAAAGCACCACCTAATATTATCCATCACTGAAGAGGGAAGTAAAAGAAAATAGTCATAAAGACATTATTACTGATTTAGCTATGAAGTTCTTGCTGGCCTTTTACAGATGTTCTACTTACAGTACTTGAAAATTTATCATCTTCGAGAGCTAATGTATTGCAGGTTAAAACTGCCAGATTGACCACCTTGACA